AAGATATGACATCAAGTGTCATTCCTGACGGAGTCTCACGGACAGCATAACGGCTGTATTTCGGATAACTAGAAACATGATTCTACACATACAGATAACCTAATTAATACAACAATTTAAACAGATAGCTTGCAAGTCCCACACGGACTGCAATCCCCTTAATGGGTCAATACAACTAATAAGGCTCCATGCCCAAATTAACTGAATACATGCATCAAGTCTATATTAATTCGAAGTATAAAAGTATCAGTAAATAATCCATGGCTCTAAGAATACTATCATGAGCCTAAATAAATACATACAATAATCTCCATAAAATAATTAAGCATGTTAACAAGTCTACATGCCAACATCAAATCTAAACATAATATAAAATCATCAGCTGCATCATCAACTACTCCAATGCGGGGGCCTTGCCCCTAGAAGCATCACCACTACTCTGGGTACCTGAAATGATGTCCCCAAACGGGGTAAGATAACAACATCTCAGTAAGCTCAAGGTTCATAGAGGATCCTCTAACCCCTGAGCCCACTTCCTGCATAACAAGTCAGATATAAAGCATATAATACAGACATACAGCATAAACATAGCATCATCATATCATCCTTGTGTAACCCTAGGGTCAAAGCCATAGACGGTTACACATGTGTGACTTCCAGGGTCAAGCCATAGACAGTCAACACAACCTCAGTATGAAATAGCTCCCAGAGTCAAGTCATAGGCAGCCTACATACCATGATCACTGGCCAGGATCCTCATAACATATATCATCAGTGCATCATCATAACATCAAGATCATATAACATCTATATGAATGTGAATGAATGCACATATACATCATACCATATACTTTCATACAATATAACCATAATGCCCACCATCATGGTGGGGCCACAAGAGAGAGGAGTCAACTAGAACTAGGAGCTTACCTTAGGGAGCTTAGCACAAGCCCACACTCCAATATAATACGTATGCTCCAACAAAATCCTCAAGTGCACGGTTCTCTAGGCACACCTAGAGTAGGAACCATTCACATCATTAATTATATATTAATTAATCAAGTCATATCCACGACTTAATCATTTAATGATTCCACTTTTCATACTCATATGCCAATAATATGCCCATTACAAGCCTAGACCAATTATAACTTATTACATATTTTAGTGCATTATTACAAGCCACTTTAATCTTCAATTACTTACATAGCTTAGAATCACATGCAAGGCTCACTTAGATTATTTTCAACTCATCCAAGTCATATTTATGATTATTATAAGTTACTAAGGGTTCCCATAAGCCCACTTAGCTTAAATATCACTTTTACGGTTTTTCCATAACTGTACATGCTTCTGTTTTCTAGTTACTGGGCGTGACTCACTTGTTATAAAATTCTCATCTTTTAGTATGTTAATCTAGACTCAATTACCTTTCCAAAAAGGTATCATATGCCTCATTTGAAGTTTCCTAGCTCCGGTTATCACCATTTGAAGTTGGACAAACAAAGCTGTTTGCCAACTCCGAACAGGGCCCTAAACATCCTTTACCATTTCTGCGATTATGAAAATTATACTAAATAATTTGCTCTAAAATTTTTATGTAGACAACTAGACACCTTTATCTTTAATTAGACATATTATGAGCCTAATTTGAGTAATAATTGAGGGAGAAAAAATTCATGGAAGTGTCAGCCATGTACAGCGCCCCTGCACATGCCTCCCTGTGCAGTCCTCACTCAAACGAACATACAGAATGGAATATATCTTCAATTGATACCAAATTTTGACACCACGTAGATAACATCTCAATCGTCAATTTGATATAAGGCACATCCCTATATTATCTCTGTGGAGGAAGATATGGTCTCCCCAATTTTGCCTAAAAACTGGTTACTTAGCCTTAAATGTGTTTACTTAACAAACCTTAATTACTTTTGATTATAAATCCTAATTCACATTAATTCTTGGATTTTTCTATTATTAAGTCACATTATGAAATATCCTTAGTCCCATTATGTCATGATACTTAAATTTTACTAATTATTTAATTAGTGTACCTAAACCTTACTTTAGTCCAATTTTAGAGTTAAATCCTTGATTACTTTTGTTAATTAATCTCTACCCTTAATTAATCACCTAATTCATCATCTCCTTAATTTTAACACAACTAAACCCTTATGTACTTTATGGGGCAGATTTGATTAGCTATATTAATTAGGATTTTTAGCCATTATTAATCATGATTAGAGAGTTTTACTTAGAGTTAACCCACCTAGTTAATCTTTCTAATCATTTTTCCACACTTAACAACTTAATAACATTTTTTTGTCATCAAACCCTATCCTTACATGATATGGCTGAAATGTTCATGGTCCATTTTTGAGTTCATAGTCATCTTTTTACATGAACATCACTCAAAGGTCCAAAGGTGGCACCTTTAGTCATCCAATCCATCATTCCATGGTTCCAAACACACACACACACACTTAAGAATCATCATCAAACCATGACATTACGAAATTTTAAACAACATTCTCCTCATGAACATATCAAAACCAAGGCACTCAACAAGAAAAAGGGAGGCTTTTTGGTTCATATTTCCCAAGTGGGAGCTTACATCTTCAAGGTTTCTCCTTTAGCTCAAGTCTCCACCTTTTTCCACCAAGAACACACCTTTAGGCAAGCACACACCTTCATGAACATGCTCATGAGTTAGGCTCAAGAACATAAGAAGAAAAGATGATATTTTTCATGAAAAAAATTTAAGAACACTTACCCAAAAATCAAAGGAAACAAGCAAGCAAGTGTGATTCTTCAAGAGAGCTCAAGAACACAACTCCATAGCCTTTGCTCTCCACAAAACCATGGCTGTTTGGGATGATAAGGGACACGAAATTTTTGATTCACACCATGAAAATGGTATGGTTGTGAAGAGGAGAGTGAGGGGAACAATCTTTGTGAAGGAAGTTTGGTGGTTTAGAGAGATTTAGGTGAAGAAATCTTAGAGAGAAGTGAGAGAGTTTTCAAAATTTGAAACTTAGAGAGAGAAGGAGGTGAAGGGGCTGCTGATCAGAAATGGAAGGGAAGGAGAGGAGGGTGCCCTAATGAGGGGTGCCATGTCACTTAAGTGATATTCGTCCTTTAGTGAGACCCGGTGTAATTTTTAACTGATCCGTCGTCAAATTTTTACCCGAAAACTCTCAAGACCCTAACTTTAAGTACTTAACATTAATTTTGTCTAATTATCATGTTCATAACTTAAAAATTTGATTAGTAGGTCACAGATCCACTAACAGTTGTTTAATTGCACTGTAGTCTTTACCGGTGTTTTTAACTGTACCCGGATTTCATAATCTTCTTAACTTTAACATTTTTGGTCTAATTATGACTTGTTAGGCATATATTGGTCTTTATTTCTATTTTCTTATCTTTTTCCTGTTCCGGGATTCTACCGGATGCTGCTACAGCAGTACAAAATACCCGGCAGAAGTGACTTTTCAAAAATACCCCAATATGGGTATCAATCTTCACCAAATCATATCCTAACCTCATTCATGATGTTTATATCATTAGATTAGCTCTCTAACTATAATTTGCTAACTTGGAGCTATTCTACTAACTGTTATTACGTCAGCAGTCAAATTTAACAAATGAAAATTCATCTGTGCATAATACCTCAATATGGGTATCAAAATTCTTATAATTTTATGCTCATTCCATTTATGACTATAAGGTCATCATTATAACCCTATCAGCTGCTTCAACGTTACATGTTTACGTTTTATTTACTTTCTGTAATATATTTATACATATTCTTATTTTTATCAATTATTATATTATTATTAGTATTATTTATTTTATTATTAATATATTATATATTATATACATTTATCTTAATTTTTAATTACTTATTTCTTTTTATTATTATTATCATCATTATTATTATTATTTTACATATACGTAAACATATATATATTTACGTTCACGCGCTTCGCGTAAAAATTGACGCGAACGACGCCACTATTAGGCGCCACTTTGGAGCAAAAAGCGCCATTTTGGAGCTAAAAGCGCTATAAATGGCGCTACTCGCGTCGCTCTTTTTAATTATTATTATTTTATTTTATTTTATCTTTGGCGCCATTGTTCACGCTAATGGCGTCAATTTTTTTAATTTTTTAATTTTTTTTTAATTCCTTTTTTTTTTTTTTTTTTAATTTCTTTTTTTTATTTTGAATATTACATATAACATCTTCTTAATAGTTAAAAAAAAATTCCCAAGTTACGCCTAAAGCCCAAAATCAATTAAACTAAATATAAAAATATTGACCACACTAATTCTTGCTTAATGTTTAAGATATAAGTAAAAAAAAATATTTAAAATATAAGTGCTACAAAGCTGTCAACGACACCCATGATTTTCTTTGTTTTTAACTATTTTAGAAAATAAAGTTAATGAAGTTGCTTGAGTTAAGAGCCCATAATTTTTTATTTAAAAAAAAAAAGCTCATAATAAATCATTCACATGCATTTCTATCTTTTCTCTCTCCAAAAATTACAACTTAGTTATTTGCTATTTATTTTTTCTGGATTTCTAATTTTAACATGTTACTTTTGGCTCATCTTATAGAACAAATAAATTGAAATAATAAAGCATGATCTGATATTCATTTACTAAATGAGATGGGTGAATTAGCTTTACTCTTTAATATATATATTGGAGAATAACAAAAAAAAAAAAATATGCTCATTATTTATGGAAAATATACTTATGTTGTTGGAGAGTGTTTTTCTCTCCTACACATACATCTATTTTCGTGTTATTTTTTTTCCTTTTTTTTCTTTTTCTACAGTGGGTGGTCACATACATGATTGTCTCTATAGCATGAGAGAATTTTCTCGTGTTGCATGAGATTAATAAAGCTCATATTTATATTACATTATATGTATCATCACTTTACTTGTTTTACAATATGAACTAATTTGTATAAAATATGATGATATACCAAAGGCACACTTGCTATTCTGTTATTTAAACAATATTCTTGAACAACGGTAGGAACACCACTGTTGTTTATATATGTCTAAGTGTCATACGATACATTAAAAAAAACAAAAAGCACTCCTCATTAGATCGTGACTAACTAGAATAAGTGTGAGGGTAATCCCAGTCTTACTCTTGCTTATTTGCGGAAGAGGCACAATACATTACAAGTAAATATATATGTATGGCATGCATTTTAAATACTTATTTTGATTGGAACAACTCGCAAGGTTTCACTTTTTCTTATGGCAAGTCCTTGTATTGCTTCCTCCATGTCCATCTCTTCAGATTTCATACCATTTTCAAGCTTCCAATTAAAAGAATTGATTAATGAACCCAACATCAAGTGCAACATCCTGATAGCCAATGGCATACCAGGACATATTCTCCGTCCACTGCCAAATGGTGTGAGCTCAAAATTTTTGCCCTGAATATCAACTTTTGACCCCAAAAACCTCTCAGGAGAAAACAAGTTTGGATTGTCCCATGATTCTGGATCCCTGCCAATAGCCCACTCATTAACTAGTATTTGTGCACCCTTTGGAATGATATAGCCATTGAGTTCCACATCTGTCCTGGCTTTTCGAGGAAGCAAAAGTGGAGCTATTGGGTGCAAGCGTAAGGTCTCCTTTATAATTGCTTGTAGGTAAGGGAGTCTAACAATGTCTGATTCCTCAATTGGCTTTCCTATTCCAACAGTTTCTTCAAGTTCTTTTTTGGCTTTTGACATAGCATTTGGGTTGTGAAGCACCTCAGCCATTGCCCATTCTAGTGCATATGCAGTTGTATCAGTTCCCCCAACAAGTAGATCCTATTAATTAATTATAAACCTCATCAATTACTTTGGGTGAGATATATATATGGCTTTAATAGCTTTCATGTTGCTGCAGATCAGAAAATTTACAGCAACACTTACTTTCACCAGGATCCGATTTTGTATCTTGGAATTTTTTATTTTTATTTTTTAATTTCAGGATCCGACTTCGTATCTTATGTAAATATATTTGCTGCAAGTTTTTCCATCAACAGTAACAGCAGAAATGAGGAACCCTATATATATATATATATATATATATATATATATATATATATATATTATATATATATATTCAACAATTTTAAATAGTAAGTGATAGTAAAAGGGATAAGAAAATACATGTAGTAGATGTTTAATCTTTTCGTTGTCCATCTCCTTGCTATTATCTTCAGAAATGTCGAGTAAGGCATCCAGCATGTCGTTGTTGGTGACATAATTTGTCCCTTCTCTGAGCTTCAACCTTTGGTGAATTAAGTTGTCGAAGACATGGAACAACTTACCAATATAACAAGCATAGCTCTTTTTGATGCCTTGTGGATCAATTGTCTTCAACAATGGGAAAAAATCAGCCATGTTTGGTGTTCCCACGGCTTTCAAGATTCCCATCACTATATCCTTGTACTCTCCCGTGTCACTTGAATTCTGAATAAAGTCTATAGAGAAAATAGTATTTGTTAACGAGTTAAGTGAAGTCTTGAAAGCTGCTCCTCCAATATTTACTGCTTCACCACTTATGCAGCTTTGATTCACATCACTGAGAAGATCCTCTATTTTTTTGCGCCTGAGGTATTGGCTTGCATCGAGAGTCTTGTTGGAGAATAATTGATTCTTGCATATTCTTCTCATGTCACGCCAGAGTGGTGTAACACAGAGGAAGCCCACGCCAAACTGGTCATGGTTGAGAGCTGATAAAGCTTGGGGAACGGTTCTATCTGAAAGTGAGGAATCATGGGTTTGGAGAACCTGTTTTGCCAACTCAGCTGAAGAGACTATTATGGTTGTTACTTGGCCTAGTTTTAAAGCAAGTATGGGGCCATGAATCTTAGCAAGCTTGGTCAAGGATTGGTGGGGCTTGTTGCCAAGTGCAAGGAGGTTTCCAATTATAGGAAGAGGGAATGGTCCTGGTGGAAGCTTGTACTTTGCTTTGTTTCTTCCTACAACAATTGAAAGAAAAGCTTGTGTAACAACGCATGTTAGTAGCAAGATTAGCACGCAACTCAGTGTATCCATATCTGGTTGCAAGGTAAAAAGGGTGTAGAAGAAGCTTATTGATGCTTTGTGCTTTGATAGAGGATCCAATTTATAACAAAAAATCTAAGTCAAGCATCCTAAAAACATTCTATATTTTACTATTCTTTACAGGACAGTCCAATAACCGATTTTGAATATCGTGCACGGTTTGGATATAACCTTCGATCGGTGTTTTGTATAGTCCTTAATTTTTTGATATCTGCGATATAGTCCAATCTATGAGAGTAAACGGGCACCGCGGCCTAATACTAGCACAACTTATATTAGGTCAGATTTCACATATTATATATAATTAAATAGAATAAGTTCAGACTTTTAAAAAAAGTCTATTTAAAAAGCATGTCATATTTTTTCTTTCATATGTTGGGCTTATAAGGTTACAGCTCGATCTATATCATATTATTTATGTAAATAAAATAAATAAAAGTATTATTTTAATAATTTTGAATAATAAACTAATATTATTTTAATTATTAAATGCCTAATAGATTTAAACATGTTAATAGGTCTAGATCAATACTTTTATTTTTTAAATATAAGTCAGATCAGACTTATAATTTAGACATACACAAACTAATAGACCAGGCCAAATCTAAGTCCATTCAAGGCTTTCTATCCTTCTTTTATTCCCCCGGCAAATCATTTTCATTTTCATTAACTCTCTATTTCTAGCTCTATATCCTTTTCAAGTAGGTAGCATGTTCTTATCAAAGTATTAGTTATCTTAACTTAGAAGGACTGCATAGACTTGGTAACGGGCACTAAATAATTGAAGGGTAATTATTTGAACTCTGAAAGCGGACAATATGAATAAAACCGTCTAATTGTTTTGTATGATAGTATTATATATATAATTTGGAGGTATCCCATTTAACTTCCTCCATTAACCTCATTCTCCGAATACAGCTCCGAAGACTACCCATTCATCGGAACAACGGGTCCATTGAGTTTGATCACCGAAAGAAGAATGTGATTAATCCTCCATCAGAGAAAGACACATCATTTGACCTCAAAAAATTTTTTAAGGATTTATTTAAGACAGAGTTTGAATTCAACACCCCAAACAAATTCTTGAGAGCTTAGTTGCCAACTATGCTCCTCCCCTTAGAGTATGATAGTATTTAGATACTAATGTAGAAGAATAAGAAACTAAAATAATACCAAATATACCAAAGCGGTTGGTTTAATTAAGTGATAAATATTTGTATTCCGTAAAGTATACTTGTATTTTATCCCCAAAAATTAAATAAAAATAAAACCAAACATTATTCAAAGATAAATTGCCGGACAGCGCAAGATATGGTTGAGGTTTTTTCTGACAAACTACACAGCGTCCAGTTGAGATGCTGATTCAGCATAGGATGTCTTTATTTGGAAATCAAACTGAACAATACTGGACAGTGTAATGATCGATGTGCATCAAGTAACAAGCAGAAAATCCGGGATACTTATTAACATTAATGGGTTCACTTAATACATATTCACCATGATGATACAGAAATGTTGTAGTAAAAAACTACAAAGGTGATTCAACAGCTGCATAGGCAGCAAAAGGAAAAATCGGAGAGTTTGTTTCAAGACCTATAAATTTCTGGTGGACTGATGGAAATAAATCAAATCTATTATGAATTCCTCTTCTAGATATGACCCTTTTAAAGTAAATTAAGGGGATCCCTCTGGGTTGCGAGATTAAATTATATGATACAGCCAAAGGAATGGCATAATTTTTCGAGTGAGAAAAGATAGAAACACATGCGAATGATTTATTACGGCCGAGCAACTTCATTAACTCTATTTTCTAAAGTAGTTAAAAAACAAAGAAAATCGTGGGTAGAGTTGACAAAATGGATTAACTTGACGGATAAATTTGCTAATCCATCAAAATGGGATAAGTTGGTTGTATATTTTAACCCGCTAACCCAACATAATATAAACAGGTTAAAGCGGGTTAAGGGCAAGATGGGACGGTTCGACTCCCAGGTTAATTTTTTATTCTTTTTCAATTCAACTTGTCATATATATATATATATATATATATATATATATATATATATATATATATATATATATATATATACTACGATGCACGGACACGGGACACGTCGACACGTTAATTCTAAAAAATGTCATATTTCGACATGTTGGGACACGTTTTGATATTAAATAAAATTTTTAATATATATAATATAATTTATATTTAATACATATAAGAGTCCATAATAAGTCATATAACCAATCAAATATTTAAATTTCATAACATAAATATAAATATAAATAATTTTTCGTACTTTGTTAATTTTTCATGTCAAATTTCATAACAGAAAAAAATTAATTTATAAATTATTTCTTTTATATTTATTTAACAAAATAAAATTAAGATTTAAAAAAAAAAATCTGTCCGAGCGTTGACCGCGTGTCGAAAAAAGTTGACTGCGTGTCAGAAAAACGTGTCGGAGAGTTGACCACGTGTCGGACGCTTGTCCGAGCGTGTCGGAGCGTGTCCGTGTCGGACATGTGTCCGACACGCAAATTTTCCAAAAAGGAGCGTGTCCGTGCTTGTTAGTATATATATATAAGGAGTTATATTGACAAATTTTTTTTCTTACAAACTATACTAAATCTGACCATTCAAACTTCAATTAAGAATATATGAATGGTCAGAGTTAGTGTAGTTTGTAAAAAAAAAATTGTCAATATAACTTTTCTCTCTATATATATTGATGACTTTATTGTCATATATATTAAATATGATACATATGACTTATATTTAAATGCAAAATTGCAACATCTATTTGTCTCCAATAGTCAGTTCACTGTCATTATAATTGAAGATCTAGCTGAACTAAACAAAGAGACAAGCATTTCCATACAAAAAAATATCATTAAAGAAATTTTGTAATAATAATATTTGTATAGATTAACACACCGATATGCACTTCTCATTTAATTTAGTATCTTTTTTATTCTTTTAATATTAAATGAAACATTAGGAAAAAAATAAAATAAAAAATATTTTTATATTTTAGGTCAGAACAAGATGCCTTGATATTTTTAACTCACTTACCAATGGCGAATCATTCCATCCTACACCATTTTTGGTGGGTTGGAGACATGCCAAAGCAGATAAGTCCTTTTTGTGAACTCTAATCATGGATATCGATGATAACTTTGTAGCATTTATATTTTTTTTAACTAAATTAAGCAAAAATTAGTGTGCATGGTTAATTTTTTATATTTAGTTTAATTGATTGTGGGCTTTAGTCATAGCTTGGGATTTTTTAATTATTAAGAAAATGTTATATCACGCAAATGACTTGGTCAAAAAATCTATACTATTATTTTAAGTGGAATTATGTTGACCATAGCTAAGTTTTTTTCTAACTATTTGATGTCTTACATTACGTCAAGTTATGAACAGTAGCTATGATAAATCAGTTTTCATTGACAACTTTACTATGAAATTATAAAATAATTTCCATCAACTTCATGTTAATGATATAAAAATAAATAAATTGACTCAAATTACAATTTAATAAAAGTAATATTATAAAAATTATATTTAAAATGGTATTGACTTGGCCAAGAATTTAACTTTCTTGCACAAATAGATTGGCACGAGATACCAATAGCTACATTAAGTAGTATAAAATGAAGGGTTTTATAAAAGTTATGTTGTAGGAAAAGTGATTGTATTATGTTATAGACATTCGTTTTGCATGTCGAAGTTTTTTTTTTTGCTGCGGGTCCCACAAAATTTTGTGTGTGTAAAAAACTTGTTGTGATCATGTTAAATGATAAATGATAAACCCTAAAATAAATTGTTAAAGATTAAAATGACCCACGCTGACAAGAATACCTCCAATATATTAATTAAAGTTGTAATTCAAGAGAAGTTTGAGTTGTACAGAGAACTTGTACGTATAAATTTCAAGTGAAAAGTTCGGTCATAGTCTTCCTCTCCATGGTGATGGAGAGGGAGATTTATTGGGTCTATAATTCTCCTTTTAATTTTGGTGAGGGCGCCATGGCCCACTTATGCTTGGTTACCCCGCTATGCTTATTTGATTGAAGCAAGAATAATTGGAAAAACAAAAGCGGCAGCAACAAAATTAAAAAAAGAAAGAATAAGAAAGAGAAGAGAGACAAAAAGAAAAAGAAAGAAAGAAGATATTCTCCGATAAATTTAACAGTAAACCTTTGTCAGAGTGAGCTCAAATTTTACGAGAGTATTGATGACATCTAGGTGGTGTTTGGTTGGGGAGAAGTGAAAATTTTGATGGGTAACTGCATGTGGGTATCTGTCATTACCATGTTTGGTTGAAGGTTTTCACTTGATTTTCCCATCTAAACCAGATGGCTAGCAAAGGAGGAAGAGACCAAAAATTAGAGAAGTGCACTGTTGAGAAACCCCTTTGAAGATGTGGAATTGCTATTCAAAACTAGATAAATGAAAAAGTTTTTAATCACAGACAAGTTTACCCCTGCGATTCTTATCACAAACACCTCTAATCCATGTATGTTTTTTGTGAAACAGAGGCGTCTTTTCTCTATATTCTAATAGGGAATGTTGTCTTCCTCAATTGGGAAAAAAAGTTCATACCATCTTCTAATTCAATGGTCCATATAGCAGTGATGAACTCTTAATAATTGGGACAATCAATAAAACCAAGGTTGTTTTACGAGGATAGTTTCGTAATTTCATTAAATTTTCCCATCAATATTTTATCTTCAACCAAACACACATTCAGAAATTTAATTCAATTTTCCTGGTAAAATTTTGCCCAACCAAACAACTTTTTTAAAACTTTCCTATCTAACTCACTTTTCCTCCAGATCCCTAGTATTTACATTTCTCTAGTATTATAAAATTTCTCCCCAACCAAACACTAATGCTTCATATTCAACTGTAGAGTTGTAATTTGGATGTTTCTAGAACAGTGAATTTGTTTTTCCTCATTGCACGTTTATTGATGGCTTCTATCCTTGCTCTTACTTTTGATTTCTATATTTTAGGTGATGGT